TACAGATGCTCCCTGGGTTACGCAAGACCCGACATATGCAAATTTGCACTTACGGAAAAAATTCCATAAGCCAGAAATAGGATTTTCAAGTTGCGGAATTTTTTGCATAACGTACGGGTATACGTTTCTGACTTACGCAAAATTCAAGTTACGCTAGGCTTTCCGTAATGGAACAATTGCGTAAGTCAGGGGGTGTCTGTACATTGTGGAACAAGTTTGCTTACAGGTAGAACTTACGGACTCACTATTGGAGTGGGAGCAAAAGCTAAAACCAAATAAAAAAGCAATACTTTGCAAAACTACATGGTAATACTGGAAGAGCTCACGAAGCTAGCAGTGAAGATGAAGCTACAGAGTGGTCATCAACAAAATTAGCAAATAAAAAACTTCTGTTGATAAAACCATTTCATTTGTACATTGCTTTTTATTCAGACATTTAGACTATATTACATACCTTTGTAATGACAACTTCCTGCTGAAATCTCCAGAACCTAACAATTTTTTCACAGATGTATATTACCACAGGACCTAAAACCCATTTCCAAGCCTGTAGAAAGTTGCACATAAAAAGACAACAAAACTTAAGATACAAAACGTTTTCATTTCTGATGAAATCAGCAGTTAGCATAAAATGACATGATTTGGACCTTTATTCTATGGCTTTTGGTTGACCTACCAAGAGAGCATGTTTCTTGTACTGTCTACTAAGGGACAAATTCTGGCATTCGCCCGAAACAAATATAATGAATTCCTTAATGGGCACACTACAAAAGCTGTGTTAATGTACTTCTGTATTCTGGCCAAAATCCTCCCTTTAAAAGCTTTTCCTACTAACAGACAAAAGGATTAACTACTTAGGAGCTATATTTATATGTCATTGCTAGGTCATGGAGTATAAATGCATATATTTATGGAGCAAAATCCAGAGTCTTACTCCCTTGCTTTTGTTACAGAGACTGAGACTTTTCAGAATGGTCAGAAGAGGGGTAACCAGCTTCTCCCCAGTGCTCTCATTGTTGGCTGTTGGCTTTCCAGTATGCAAATGTGTGCAGCACTAGCCAGAATTAGATCCAAAATGTTCACTTATGCTTTAAGTATAAAGAACAGGAGTACTTGTGGCACCTTAGAGACTAACACATTTATTTGAGTATAAGCTTTCGTGGGCTAAAACCTAATTCATCGGATGTATGCAGTGTATTTTCCTACTGTTATTTCCACTGCATGCATCCGATGAAGTGGGTTTTAGCCCATGAAAGCTTATGCTCAAATACATTTGTTAGTCTCTAAGGTGCCCCAAGTACTTCTGTTCTTTTTGCGGATACAGACTAACACAGCTGCTACTCTGAAACCTGGCTTTAAGTATATATTCTCACATAATCAGTTAGTCTGTTCTGTATCAATAATTGGACTAAGCTTATTTATGGCACCTAACTGGTCATACTGTAGATATTATACATGATCATTGTACTTTGATGATCATATATATTGATCGATATAATAATCAAAAATACATAGCTGATCATGTATATTAGTTGATAATTGTACTCGGAGTATAATAGCTTTAGATAATTGTATATAATTATATCTGCAAGACTACAAAAATGCAGACATTTGTCTGTACAGAGGACACCATCATATTTCCAGATGGAAGAATGCACCATCATATTTCTAGATGGAAGAATGCACAAAAAGCTCATTTAAGCTAACCAAAGACCTGAAAAACGTGTGGCTTTTCAAGCCACCTAAATCAATATTTGTTTGCTGAAACATTGACTTTGGTGTACAAGCTGGAATGATGCTAGGTTATAAAGCATCTTTTATGAGAAGGAAATCTTCATTCATATTGTGTAATTCCTTTAGATGGTGCTAAGGGGATGGAGTTGCAATTTGCCTAGCATAAGTCTTGAAAAATAAGTTAAAAAATAAACATTTAAATAATGGCAAGAGGCTGACAAAAGTAAGAAGATTCTGAGTTAAAGCAGAAACTCAACTCATTCATTGTCCCTAAAGACTAGAGATGTCTCTGCACAGTCAGCAGTTTGATACGTCCCAAATAAGTTAGCACAGATCAAGTTACAACAATGATTAAACCAGTTTTTCTCCTTTCTGTTTGTACTACTTGTAAATAAAAACATGTAACAGGAATTGTCCTTTGTAAGAGCTCAGCCAAAGCTTTCAAATGAGCTACTGTGATTATCAGCAAATAGCTTTTAAACACTTTCATTTTAACATGTCTTCTGATGGTTAAGAATAACAGAGCATCCTCCAGAACTGGTGGACTGGTAGGTGACAGATGTCCTTCCCTGGTAATCAGGAAATTTACATTTTTTCCCAGGTGGTGATTTCTCCTCATAATTAGAATGAAGTGAGATGGCGCTGGACTGACTCAAGATAGAGATTGATGATATAAAGTCTGATACAAGTTAATGGGAATTGTGTTACCGACTTCAGTAGGAGCCAGATCAAGCCCATATGGGTTGACAGATACAATACAAAGAATTACAAAAATGTCATCATGGCTTTTACCCTCTGAGTGGTTTTTTTGAATGGAATTCAGAAGTACCTACCAGATATTATATCACAGCATATTACTGGATGTGTAAAGTAACATTCTTACAGGTAATCTATATGCCCATATGGTATTATCACAATGTATTTAATATAATGTGACTTTAAGTTTATGGTTTTGGGTATGCAGGAAAGTCTGGCAAAGGAGGTCTAACAGAGAAAAGGATAAGTTCATTAGTTAGCTTTATCATAGTTAATATCAGGCCATGCTGTTGGAAGCAAACTTCTGACTGTATTCACAGAGCATAACAGCATATTTATTTTTATGGAAATACTGTAGCTGAAATTTTTAGAGAGGCATTTATTTCCTCATTAATAGTGGATAGTGGCTAATGATAGTTTAAGAAAAATCTATGTCAGCCATTAAAAGCACTACAAGATATTGAATGTTAATTTTTTGAATGGAGGTGCAGAATCCTTTGGAAATCTTAGACATAGTCTGCAGATCCCCAGGGGTCTGTGGACTTCAGGTTGAAAACTACTGCTTTAGAAAGTAAGTTCTTAGGGGATGGGGTCTCTTTATTAGGGCTGTCAAGTGACTAAAAAAATTAATTGCAATTAATCATGCGATTAAAAAAATTAATCATGTGATTAATCATGCTGTTAAAAAGAATAGAATGTCACTTATTTAAATATTTTTGGATGTTTTTTAAATTTTCAAATATATTGGTTTCAATTACAACACAGAATACAAAGTGTACAGTGCTCACTTTATGTTTATTTTTGATTATAAATATTTGCACTGTAAAAAACAAAAGAAATAGTATTTTTCAATTAACCTCATACAAGTACCATAGTGCAATCTCTTTAACATGAAAGTTGAGCTTAGAAATGTAGAATTATGTAAAAAAAAAAACCTGCTTTCAAAAATAAAATAATGTAAAACTTTAGAGCCTACAAGTCCACTCAGTCCTACTTCTTGTTCAGCCAATCACTCAGACAAACAAGTTTGTTGACATTTGCAGGTGATAATGCTGCCTGCTTCTTGTTTACAATGTCACCTGAAAGTGAGAACAGGCGTTCTCATGGCACCGTTGTAGCCGGCGTCGCAAGATATTTACGTGCTAGATGTACTAAAGATTCATATGTCCCTTCATGCTTCAACCACCATTCCAGATGACTTGCATCCATACTGGTGACGGGTTCTGTTCGATAATGATCCAAAGCAGTGAGGACCGACGCATGTTCATTTTCATCATCTGAATCAGATGCCACCCGCAGAAGGTTGATTTTCTTTTTTGGTGGTTTGGGTTCTATAGTTTCCACATCAGGGAGTTGCTCTTTTAAGACTTCTGAAAGCACGCTCCACACCCCGTCCCTCTCAGATTTTGGACGGCACTTCAGATTCTTAAATCTTGGGTCGAGTGCTGTAGCTATCTTTAGAAATCTCACATTGGTATATTCTTTGCGTTTTGTCAACTCTGCAGTGAAAGTGTTCTTAAAACGAACAACATGTGCTGGGTCATCATTCAAGACTGTTATAACATGAAATATATGGCAGAATGCAGGTAAAAGAGAGCAGGAGACATACAATTCTCTCCCAAGGAGTTGAGTCACAAATTTAATTAACGCATTCTTTTTTTAACAAGCGTCATCCGCATGGAAGCATGTCCTTGGAATGGTGTCCGAAGCATGAAGGGGCATACGAATGTTTAGCATATTTGGCACGTAAGTACCTTGCAATACCGGCTACAAAAGTGCCATACGAACGCCTGTTCTCTCTTTCAGGTGACATTGTAAATAAGAAGCGGGCAACATTCTCTCCGGTAAATATAAACAAACTTGTTTGTCTTAGCAATTGGCTGAACAAGAAGTAGGATTTTTTTAATCACAATTAATTTTTTGAGTTAATTGCGTGAGTCAGCTGCGATTAATCGACAGCCGTACTCTTTATATTTGTGTAATGTACACATTAAGCACATTCTTTATACTGAATAAATAATAAACAAACAATAACAAAAATGCTGTAAATAATGGGTTTATATACAGAAGGCTTGATTCTGAAATCCACAGTCTTCACTGGGAGTTGCCTGACTAAAAAGGACTATACCAAAAACAATTATTAAGGAATAATGATACCTAGCATTTTTCATCTGTAGATGCTAATGCGCTTTACAAAGGAGGTAAGCATCATTATCCTCATATTTTAGAGGGGGAGACCAAGGCACAGAAAAGTGCACTTACTTGTCTGAGGTCACCCTACAGGCCAGCAGCAGACTCAGGAATAGAACTCCAGCATCCTGAGTCCAGGTCACTGCTCTAGCCAGTGCCATTCTGTTTCCTCAAGAAAGCACATAAATATAAAGAAGACATGAGCTTCATTCTTACCACAGGTTCACTGCCAGAAAATAGGGGCAAAGGACACTGAGTGGCTTTCTCCCATTCTGAGTAGTGATCTTTACAATAAGTGACATTGTGCAGCAACAGACTCTGTGGTGTCTGACCTCGGATGAGCTGACTTAACACATAAAAAAAAAAAGATATGCAGTTGATATCGTCTCTTTTGTTGTTTTGATATACTATTATGTTAACAAATACTGTACTGAATGCAGAAATGGAAATATCTGAAAATATGGCAGCTGGTTTGTTGTCTTAATGTTGTTCTTTCAGATTGTTTCAACCATACTTCTTCCACAAGGTTTTTAGGTTTTTCATTGTCAACCCACCAAGTGTAGTGGGTATGCTATGCTATAAGTATGTAGCAACACCACTGGCAGTTTGGAGAATCAGTACATGTAACATGGATAGCTCTCTCATCTGTGGATTGAGTCAGAAAGTAAGCTCATTGGAGCAGAGACCTTGTCCTCCTCTATATGTGAACAGCTGGTGTTGCTCAGAAAAATAAAATAATAGTCACTTTCTTTTCTTTGCAGCTTTAAGAAACATATTTAAAGAGCACCAAATAATTGTGAAGAGCCTTAATGAGATGTGTGGTTTTTTGTTAACATATTTAAATTCTAACTTCTTTACACTAGAGAATTTACAATGAAGTACATTTCCTGGAACATACCCTTCTCAACTATTGAGTTTAAAAATACAGCTGGTGCTGATTGTGGATGAAGAAGAGGGGATAATGGGACTAGGTCATATTGTTGCCCTTCTTTATCCCTTTCAGATTTATTTGAAGCCAGATCATGGTCTGTCTTGTGCACTAGTGCAAGGGATTAGCGGGGATAAAAGGTGCTTCCTGACTCCATTGTGCCAGTGTGCCACACTTCCTGTAAAGAGGGGGCTCCATAGAGCCACTACATCTCTCCCGCTCTCGGGTGAACAGGAAGAAGCAAGAGGGGGTGGGGAGTAGGCAGAGCCTTGGCTCTTGCCTCCCCACACGTCCCAAGTGTGTCCAGTTGAGTAGCTATGCTGCGGACCGGGAAGTGTACCTGTGACATTTGATGCAGTTTAAGAATCACAGAATCATAGAATATCAGGGTTGGTAGGGACCTCAGGAGGTCATCTAGTCCAACCCCCTGCTCAAAGCAGGACCAATCCCCAGACAGTTCAATCAGTTCAGACAATCCCCAGTTACTCATGTCCAGGAGCAACAAGGAGAGTAGGAGGAAGACTGAACTCCCTGAGTCAGTCTCCCTCCCAAACTGCCCCTATCTATGAGCTAAATCACAAACTGATGATTCAGCACTTTATTATTATTTTCTCAGGGGTCCTTTTGGGGATCACAGTGTGGCATTCTTAAGAATGCTGAAGTGCAGTTTACACTACGGATATTTGAATAGGAGTGGATTGAAGTCAGTGGGACTACTTGTGGAGTAATGTATTAATCCATTGCCTGTCATGCTAACCAATTTTGTCTCATTGTTTTCTTGGGCTCCCCCACCAGTTTGTCTGTATCCATCTGTTGTTTCTTGGTTTGTACTTAGGGGCAAGGACAGTCATTTCGTAAAGTATTTGTACAGCACCTAACATGATGGAGTCCTGGTCCATGACTAGCACTCCTAGGCGCCATGATAATACAAATAAATAACATGAAGTAATAATATTAATAATAGCAATCATCAGTTTGAGTAATGGTATTACACTTTGTCCATGATGGATTAAGGGACCAAAAATAAGGAGGCCTCTTGGTTCTATCCACTCGGGTGCTTAGGTGCCAAAGTCCTGTTTTTAAGCACCCCTGTGATCCACAAAACTGCTGCTTGTCTGCTGCCTAAATCACCCCAAATTCCCCACTCACACTCACTAGCGTAGGTTTGAATCATGTGTGATCCTAAAGTGTTGATATCATCATATATAATCACCTCATACCAGGCATATCATATGTTTATATACTCACCCCATACCATGGATAACCAGACCAATAAAGAAAACCATGAATAGGTGATGGGTATACCAGAACACCTCATAGAATGATCTTCTGATGATCTCTGTGGATGAAGTCATGATCAGAATGAAAGCCACAGTGATTATGACACCAGTTACTCCAGCTATGGTAGTTAGTATCTGTGTTGTTGTGTTCTAAAATAAGAATAAATTATTATGTACAGAGACTAAATCAAATATGCAGCTTCAGTATAAGAATGAATGTAAGCAACAAACCAGACAAGGCAAAAAGATTAGAAGCTGCATGAAAAAAGATTATTTGTTCTGTTATCCATATAGGTTTATTCCAGACATGAATGTAAATATTAACTGCAATTTGTCTGTTTCAACAATTGATAGGAGGAAATTACATAATCCTGCTAGTTCTTGCATCTATTTTTGTTGCCTCAGAAAAGAGAGAATAAATTATTAGAGTTAAGAGTAGGTAAAAAAAGAGGTAATAACCAGAACAGCACTGAAAAAAATCCACAATCATTTTGAGGGAGATAAATGAGGGGTGCTCAGTGGCCTACGGACTGTAAGAAGCATGGATCTGCTTTGTTCTTATTTCACTTTAACTTACATCATTTCAAGCAGCAATAGATGCCCCTGACAGCCTCACGTTCTGTTGCCACTGCTGTCTCCATGAGACATTCATTCTGACTGCAGGCTTCCAGAATTCCAAAAGAGCTGCAGACTACAATTGAGGATTTACCCTTTCAGGGCTCTAAGCTGTTCTCTGCCAGGATGGATGATGCTATGCACACACTGAAAGACTCTCGTGCAACACTTTGCTCACTGGGAGTCTACATTTCTTCTACTAAAATGAAGCAATTTAAACCACAACACTACCTGAGACCATTGTTCCATCAGAGACCCCAGTAGACAGAAGATCAAGACCTTCTTGATGTTACCTGCCATCTTCCATGACAATGGGCCCTTCTCACCAGACATCTTCTACCTCAAAGCAGTCATTTTGAATCTTTAATTGAGGACAGGACAGCACAACAATTATATCTCCTCCTTTCGGGATCACACCAGTCCCTTTTGTATTGTACATGGCAGAAGATTATGTTGGACAAATAGGTACTCAGTACACTGGATATGTAATCCAGTTCATCTCCCTTCCTTTCCCCAACCCATTCTCCCCATTCCTTTTCAGAGAGTCTTCTTATGAGATCATGTTACTTTAAGAACTATGGGTTGGGCATGATAGAGTTGGGCATGATAGAGGATCCAGGAGGATTTTATTCGTGCTCCTTTCTGGTCCCAAAGAAATCTAGTGGCCTCTGCCCCATTCTACATCTAAGAAAGCTGAACAAATTCATCGAGAAAATCAAGTTCAGCATGGTCACCCTTGCTTATATTATCCCTTCCTTGAAGACTGGAATGCTGCCCTCAATTTACAAATGTATATGTCCACGTGGCGATACATCCTTCCCACAGGAAGTACCTTCAATTTCTGATAGCCATCAACCACTGCCTGTGCACAGTGCTTCCTTTTGGCCTGTCATCATCTCCGAGCATTTTCACCAAGTTCATGGTGGTGGTAGAAGCCCACCTTCATTATCTGGACATTTAAATATTTCCTTACAAGGACGATTGGTTGGATCAAGCAGCATCAAGGGATCATGTCCAAAACAGTGTCATAGTCATCAGGCACGTGTTCTTCCATCAAGGTCTGAAAATAAGTTTGGACAAATCACAGCTACAACCAACTCAGCACATAACTTTTATAGGAGCAGACCTCAACACCAGAACAGACATGGCTATCTTCCACAGGAAGTCTTCCAATCTATAGCCTTCTTTTAAAAAATTCTCAAGTTCAATCCAACAATGACAGTGCAAGTCTCAGCCACATGCCTCATGCACATGATTAACTCTGCATGCCAGACTTCACCTCTGTTGACTGTAGTCTTGGCTTCATTTGTATATTGACCTTCTAGGCATCTGCTGGACATGCAGATTTGTGTATCCGTGCAAGTGCTTCAGTCTCTGGATTGGTGAATGGATTGGCAGAATGTATACAAGTGAGTTCCATTTCTGTCCCCAGAACTGATTATGTCTCTGGTTACAGATGCATCTGTCAAAGGCTGCGGGGCCCATCTTGGTCAACTTCAGGCTCAAGCTCACCTCAGGAAATTTTCCTCCATATAAACATGCTGGAGCTCAGGGCCCTACATTGGGCTGGCAAAATATTTATGCCCACATCAAGAATTGGGTGATTCAAGTTCTCACGGACAATACGACTGCTATGTTTTACATGAACAAGCTGGGAGCGACAAGGTCATCTCAGTTGTGTCAGGAGGCTATCCTCCTGCGGAATCTATGTATTCAACACTAAGTTTCTTTGAAGGCCTTCCATTTTCCAGGAGTGAGAAACACTGTCCTGAATTCTCTCAGTAGGGTTTTCATAGACTAACATGAGTGGTTGATCAGAATGGATGTTATCCTTCAGGTTTTTCACCACTGGGGGTACCCACTAATAGAATTATTCACAACAAATCTCAACAACAAGTGCATGAGATTTTGCCCAAAGGTGGGTCGCAACCCCAGTTCCATCATAGATGCTTTTCTTCTTCCCTGATTCAGTCATCTTCTACATGCATTCCCTTCTGATCATTTCATTCCGAGGGTCCTGAGGAAGCTAAAACAAAATAGAGCATCACTAATCCTCATTGCACTAGTGCGGCTAAGACAGTATTGGTTCATAGATCTGTATCAGCTTTCCATCAGGTCGCCGATAATTCTACTGCTGGTCAGGGATCTTCTGTCCCAAAACTAGGGCAAGTCTCTACATCTGAACCTCGAATCTCTCCATCTTATGGTGTGGATGATCTCTGGTTAAATATTCAAGAGAAACTGTGCTCCTGAGAGGTTTGGGCCGTCTTAGTGAACAGCAGAACAGAATCCACTAAAGTCACATACGCAGCAAGGTGTAAGAGATTTTCGATTTGGGCATGCTCACATCATTTATTTCCCCATCACACAGAAGTCACATATATTGGATTATCTTTTCCATCTCAAATCATCAGGCCTTTCAAATAGTTCTGTGAGAGTTCACCTGGCTTCTATTCCTACATTACATCTGCCAATAGACAATTTTCCCATTTTTTCTCATAGAGTCAGACTTTAAAGTCAGTAAGGGCCATCATGATCATCTTGTCTGACCTTCTGCACATTTCAGGCCACAGAATCTCACCCACCCACTCCCATAATAGACCCCAACCTCTGGCTGAGTTACTGAAGTCCTCAAATCATGATTTAAAGACTTCCACTTGTTTCTCAGTTTCTGAAGGGCCCAGTCAAGGTTTATTCTCCTGTGTCTTATCCTGTACCTATTTGGGATTTGAATCTAGTGCTTTCCAAACTGATAGGACCTCCCTCCAATCTATGGATATGACTTCATTATCTTTATTGTATATGAAGATTGAGTTTTTGGTGGCAATTATTTGCATCAGTAGGGTTTCAGAGCTTCAACCTCTTTTAGCTTACCCTCCTTTTACTGTCTTTTATAAGGACAAGGTGTCTCTTCTAGGCCACATCCTAAATTTATACCCAAGGTACTATCAGCTTTCCACCTAAATAAAACAATTAATCTTATGGTGTTTTTTCTCCAGACCCCATGTATCTAAGGCTGAGGAGGCTCTCCATAACTTGGATGTTCATTGAGCCATGGCTTTTTACTTGGACTGCACTAGATCCTTCATCCCAGCTCTTTGTAAGCTATGCAGTGTCATCTCAGTGAATCTCACACTGGGTCTCTGACTATGGCCTTGGCTACACTTGCGAGTTACAGCACAATAAAGCAGCCCCGGGCGCCCTAGCTTACTCCCCGTCCACACTGGCAAGGCACTTACAGCGTTCTGACTCCGTAGCTACAGCGCTGCTGGTACTCCACCTCGGCGAGTGGAATAACGTTTGTGGCGCCCCCACTGGAGTGCCGTGGCGCCAATGTGAACAAGGTGTTGCGTTACTGCACTGTGATCAGCCTCCGGAAACGTCCCATAATCCCCTTAAATCAAGTGGCCACACTTGTCATTGTTGTGAAATCGGCTGCAGGAATGCGGAAATGCCCTTTCAAAGCTCCGTTTCGGAGAAGCTGGCTGCTTATCAGCTCCAAAAAAAAGCAAACATTTACTGTTTGCTTTGAGTGAGTGAGAGAGAGGCGGGGAAGTGGGGTCTGAACTTACAAGGCAGCATGCTGACACACTCTCAGCACTCCAAAAACCCACTCTCTCTCCCCCCACACACACACGACACACTCCCTGTCACACTCCACCCCACCCCCATTTGAAAAGCACGTTGCAGTCACTTGCATGCTGGGATAGCTGCCCATAATGCACCGCTCCCAATGCCGCTGCAAGTGCCGCAAATGGGGCCACGCCAGTGCACTTGCAGCTGTCAGTGTGGACAGACTGCAGTGCTTTCCCTACTGCACTCTAGCAGGTTTAACTCACAGCGCTCTACATCTGCAAATGTAGCCATGCCCTATACCAAGCTCTGTTACAACCTTACTAAAGTCTCTCCTCCATTAAGAATAACTGCTCCCTCTGCCAAAGCTCACTCGACTATATCAGCATGTGATGGGGTGTACCAACACCACACTGGGGCCAGCGGGGCCAGACCAATCACTGTGGGCCCGGGGGACCTCACCCCTCACACCTGCTGCACATGCTCCAGGTGGAAGAGACAGATAAAAGGAGGCAGCCCAGCTCAGTTGGGGCTGGCAGAGGAGACTAACTGGGATGCTGAACTACTGCCAGCCAAGGAGATGCCTGAGATGGGCCTTATGTATTAGAAACCAATGCTTAACAAGGAATTTTCTGGCTTCCTAGAGCCTGGGTCAGAACCCACTGGAATAGGGTGGGCCTGAGTTCCTCTGCCCCCCGTCCCCTGCACTGCCACTATGAATGGCCACCGAGGGTCCTAGCTAGAGACTGAGTGTTTGCTCTGCCCCGTCCCAGGGGCTACTGACTGTTTGCTTGGTCTGCCCTGCCCAGAGAGTCAGAGCCCTCAACTACTATTGTTTGCCCCAGCCAGGAGGTTCAGGAGGCTAGAGACTGAGCATTTGCTTTCCCCCACTCCATGGACTATGGACTGCTTAGTTACTTGGCCCCACCAGGGGCCCAGAGTCCCCCCATCACAATTGTTTGACCCAACAGAGAATCCCGACGATCGTGTGACCAGCTCCACATTGGGCCAACAGGGGTGGCCCTGCTCAATACGCTGGTCTCCTCCGTGACACAGCATTTCTGAGTAATGTCCCAATAGGTCATATATGCAAGGCAGCAGCGTGGCCTGTGCATACTTTCTCTACTCATTATGCCATCATTCAGACCTCTCTTGACGATGCCAGCTTTGGCAAGTTGGTGTTACAATACCTCTTCAGATGATCCAAAGTCTCTCTACCTGCAAAGGAACTGCTGGGGAGTCACCTACAGTGGAATGTATATATGCATAATCTCTCAAAGGAGAAAAAAAGGTTATTTACCTTGCAGTAATTGTTGTTCTTTGAGATGTGTTGTGCATATATATATTTCACGACCTCCCACCTTCCCTCTACTTTGGAATTTATTATAGCTGTGTGAAGGAATGGAGAGGGAAGTGGCAAAGATGCCCATTTTATGCCCTGGCCTGAAAGCATGAAGAGAGCAATGGTGCATGTGCCACCTAGTGTTACTGCTGGCATATCCAACTTGAGTGCACTGGTGCGCACACACACACATCTACAGTGGAATATGTATACGCACAACACATCTCAAAGAACAACAGATACTGCAAGATAAGAAACCATTTTTATACAGTGTAACTGAAGGCCTAACATGGCCTGCAGACCCTAGATTACTGTGGATGATGCACAAGAATGAAAGAACCCAGCTTGACTTTCAGATCCCGAGTTGGCTTTGTAGGGTTAGAATTAGAAAAAACATATTTTTACTTGTAAAGTGAACTTATTTGATATGGAAGTGCTGGAGAGGTCATAAGTTCCACAGTGCCATTTTTAGAGTTGAACTACTCTCAGATGTTCACACTTGGCAGCACAGAGTATATTTTCAAACTAGTGCCTGTGATGAATATGTTCAAATCCTATTACATGTGAACAGGATTGATCTAGGTGACATTTTGACCATTTACACTACACTGGCTAGTTTGAATGTTGAGATGAAACAATGAAAAATGTCAAAGACTCTTCGTAAGCTGCTACTGCAGAGGCATAACTAAACTGAAAAGAATACTTGAATTACTGCTCTCAGAACTTTCTTCTGTAAAGGTGGAAGAAATCCTTTGTTTGAATTTATTCAGAAAGACAGACTTATTCAGAATGTAGAGACAGATGCAAGTGGGCAATAAAAGAAATGTAAAAATAATTATCAAAAGGTTAAAATATAGGCTACGTATATTTAGTTCCCATGTAATTGCCAGGCAAGTATATTATTATTTGAGAGGTTTGGAAAGGACATCAGGAAATTTACTTCCAGGTGTTTGGGAGAGTAGGCTTACCTCAGAAAAATGGGAGTAAACCACCAAAGGGTGTTGGGCCCCCTCTAAAACCTACAAACTCTTCCTCTTCAATCAGTGGTGAACACATCACATGTGCATCTGGTGACTGTGGGTAGAGTATCCCAGCAAGGGCTCTAAACTCTAGAATTTGCTTTCCCCGTGGGTCTGAGGGACCTGCCCAGATTGCCAACTTTGAGGTCAAGGCCATGTATATTCAGGCCTTTGATGCTAGTGGAGTAGTTCGTTTATTTGCTTGATGTGTATGAGATTTGATTTTTTTTTTAGCAGATGAAATAGTCACTTTGTCAGTTGAAAAATAATTAATACAATAATATCATAACTTTACACTTGCAAAACAATGCAAATACACAGATTTATGCTTGCCCTTCCACTTCAATCCAGATGCCTATTTTCCCATTCCTGGCTCTCTACTTAGCACCTATAATTCTCATTATATATAAGTATGTGACATTATACACAAGCAAGCAAATAACACCAGTGTTAACTATGGTATAATGCAATAACTATAAAAATAAAATCAACTAACTGCAGCGTGCACTCACTGAGGAAAAAAAATCTATTGTTGTTTACACTGTTATAAAATCAAGAGTAAGTCCACCAGAGTCAATGAAGTTACTCCCAATGTCCATCAATTAACAAACAGTAGAAACTAGCCCCAAATTAAGGAAACCTTGCAAAACCACTGTCAGAGCCTAACACCAGCTGTGAAAGAAGTTTCGTTATGTACTATTATTGTTTTTTTAAATTTAAAATATTGTTCTCTCTTTTTCTAGTCAGAGGTTGTTAGCCATATTTCATATATCAATAGCTTACAGGTTTAATAAATTTTTAACTAATCATAATACTCCTCATCCACACCCCACTTATCTCCTTCCTAAACTAATTAAAATAGTAAACACATTTCTCTGAGCTGGAAAACCTGAAAATTGCATTTTTTTAGCTATTGTTTTCAGCTGAAATTCAGGTTAATCTTTGACAGCATCTCCTAGCTCGGCTTAAAAGGTATTGAAATATAGTTTTATCAACAAAAGAACCTGCAGAGGACAATTTTTCAGATGAGGAAAGCCAGCAAGTACCTAATGACAACTTACCACTTCATAGTTTCTAATTGGGTTCAAGTAGCTTTCATTTGGTGTTTTGCCAATGCCAGAAAGTTTATTCTGCAACCCCTCTGCTTCCTTCGATTGACTTATATGATATCGCTCTATGTTGACCAGATGTGCAACAATATGGATGACTGTTTGAAAGAGAGAGTTATACAAACTGAAGTTAAAGTTGTACATTTACACATGCCAGCATCAATTTTATTAACTATGACATGAAACATTTAAAAAGTCTCTGTGTGGATTACGATCTTTACACAGTAATCAACAACAAAAATAGACTTTTGTCAGTGTGTAATACATGGCAACCCGTTATGTTCAAGTATAAAATGGAATAACAGCTTCAACATAATTGTCCCATGTTTATGGTCCCGATGATATCATTTCTTGTGTTCCCAAATGTACTGCCCTTTAGCTTTTGGTGCCATGGAAAGGTGTGCTCTTGAAAATAGGAATGATATACCATAAAATTGATTGGTTTCACTCAAAATTAGGCACATTCTCTTGCTAAAATGTTTATGGAGCCTTTCACTTCAACAGCACATATGCAAATTTTATTAATGTCAGACGTAACACATAATTGGTGCCTCCTAATAGGTGGCCATGATGACATGTTTTCAGAGGTCTTAATTCCTGTTGGACAAAGAAACTACCACATCACAAAACTACGACAAACGCAATGGGCAATCTCAAAAGGGAACCCCAGGATTGAATAGTCATAACCTCTTCCTCCCAATAAGTGAGTCCTTCAGTGTCAGGTTCAGTTAGGACAGCATGGGGAAAGCCTACATTGCAGCTCCCACTGTTGTACCTCTTCTGTGAAAAAGAAAACATCAAATTTCCACTATAGTTTATCTAAGACATTTTGCTCTAATCATTGTAAAAATGTTATTTGGTATCAGCAGCACATTGTTCTTTTCTTCTACCATAATCACAGTTCTATTCCCAATGCAAACACATCCTACCAGACTCATGTTTCTTACTAAGAAATCTACTTAGACCTATAATTTTCTTCCTTCTGATGGGTGACAATCACTCCAACTTGTACTTGACAGATATAGCACAAGTCTTCTAGCATGAGCCAGACTGTACTTTCCTGGAAATTACTTTGTGCAAGATGTTAACATACAAAATATAATCCTATACAGAAAAAATATTAAAATTCAAACAAATGCATTCAGAATGTTGGTTTCCCTGGGTCTCCTATGATCTTAAGTACTGGCCTGAGTTTTATTAGATTTGTGCTTCTGATAGTTTCTTGTGTGCCACTAGAAGAAAAAATAATTCAATCTAAAAGTGAATTATAGCAGGCTAGCAAGAGTAATGCAAACTTGTAATTCCATTTTTCAGTGTGGTTCCTTTAATGCACAATAGTTGTAGCAAAGTAAAAAGTCTGGCACCAGATACCTTGCCATTAGCTAAAACATTTTATATCTCTATAGTGCATTTTGTGGAGTTTCCTTAGATCTAAAGTGTGTGGAATTTGCTAAGTACTTTCAAAAGCCACTGTACAAATTCCTGAAATTTATGAGCATTTTTTATTGCTCTCAATTTATTCATTATGGGTACAGAGCTTAGAATGCTTCATCTATAATTTGTTTTTACCAGTATTTTCCCACCACTCATGAGTAAACATATACTATGGGCGAAATTCTGCATTCCTTACTCAAGCAAAATTTCCTTTGACATCAATGGGAGCTTTGCCTGAGTAAGGGCTGCAGGATTTAGCCCTTTTTATTAGTAAAATCTGGAACCTTAGAAATGGTATGCAAGTGTAGTAATTTGTATGCTAGCCTTTACATTTTTCATCTAGTCCACCACTGAGTTCAAATCACATGCTTTTATTGGGGGGACAAAAAAGGAAGAGGGCTGCAATTAGAGTGCAGAGTCCATAGTGCATCTTAAAAATAATTTTTAAAAAGAACAAAAAGAAATGTAATTTAATTACCTTCTTGTAAGTCTGGTCAATTTAGTTAGTCTTATTCAGCCAATTCTGCTGTCAGTGAAGCATACACACCTCTCATTGAACTAAATAGAAATTGCATGTGCTTATCTGAGGGCATGTGCTTATCTCTCTTTTTCTGCATGCCTGCCTAGGATAATAATCATTTTGAAGTTAATTCCTACTAATTAACCATCTTGGTATTCCCACTATTATAAAATCAAAGGGTCAAAATCTTGTCCTTTGTAACCACACTAAGTCAGTGGTCTTGCATAAGCCTGTGAATGCTTCAGTAAACTCACCCTAAGTTTTGTAGCAGCATCACCTACTCTGCTTTCTGTTGTCACAGAATTGTTCCTTTTGAACTTCAAGAAAAATCAAAATCATACCTTTTAATATATTAAATTATGAATCTCTGTAAAACAACCAATGTATAAGCATATCGAGCCCAGCACACTATCTGATATATTTTGATATTAAATTCCATAAATTCTCAATTTTGGATTTTTTTATTTGTTTGTTTTATTAACTTTGTTCCCAATTTAAAGTTTTGCTGTATAACAAAGGTGAGGGATGGTGAGAACTTTGTATGATATTGTCCTCAGAAATACTGGGAATATAGAATCTTGTCTTCCCTGATTTTTGCTGGAGGACTAAATTAGGACTGGAGATAGAGCTATTTTAGAAAATTCGGGGTAGGTTTTTAATATTAAAGACAAGCAGAAAAAGCCAACGCTTTCAGACTACCTTTATGTCATAAAGAAGTAAAAATAAAAAAAAATTCTTTCTTTTTCTTTTGTAGGTTACCTTTAAAACCAGCACTAATATTATGACACTCTAGTTTCAGATTTTAGTTTTTTTTAAAGAGGGGGGGGGGCTGTAAGATTTGTAAATATATAAATTTACTTTCTTTTGAGGAAGAAAATGAATGTGTGAGAAATTGTCTGAAACATTATTTGCTCCCCTCTTATAAAGATCTTTAGGTTCAAGGTACTATTTTTTGACTGAAACATCCCATTTGAATTAGAATATCTTGAATGATCTGTGTGGATCAAGTTGAAAGAGTATGAAACTATGATTTTATTCTACAGGTCTATAGGGAAGATTTATTAGAGGGTGAGTAACTCCTAAGCAGCTCTTATCATAGACAGGTATGCAGAAAGGCAGGAAGCCACACTAAGCAGAATTCCCTTTATTGAATTTTCAGTGATGTCCTTTGATTATAGATAACATTGTTTCCTCTCTCTTTTTCTTCCAACATACCTACTTCCACCAGGCTCTAATTACACCTGGCCATTTGAAGCCTACAGTTGAATTTGCATAAGAACTGATGAAAAATTAAAGATTGGTATGGAAACTTAGCTACAAACTTTTCCCAAGACTACAAAAATCTCTACCAAGCTATTCTACTGTTTGAGAAGTAAAATAATAGACAAGATTAATAATATTGCTCTGATTATCTTTAGCATGCTACTAAGTGAAAGTACTAAAATAATAATTAAAAAGCAGAGACAAATACTTGTGATATTTTATTATTAAACAAAAAGTGATTTACAACTTTATATTGTGTAGATATCAAGCTCAGTGATTTGATCTGCAAATTAGTTTAGCTTCCTACTGCCATATTTGAAACCATAGGAGAAAATTTACTTGTTAGAACAACTAACTAGAAAATTTCCAACAGTCTTGTGTGGCATTTGATTGTTTATGCAGATACTACCTATAATGCTTTTTAGCATACAAAAAAGAATTTGACAATTGTGCCTGAAATATTTCACATTTTTCTCTGTATATCATCTTAATATTGCTAAATATTATAACAAGGAACTCCATATACTTAAGGGTAGCAGCTTATAGTGCAAACAGATAAATGTGATTATCCACACAATGTACAGATGTAGACTAAAAGTTTAGTATTGGGAGTTTTCTGTAGCATTTAATTTTGTATTTGAAACAACTGAGTTTCTGGCCCTTCTTAACACAAAGGATATCATCGTGAACTCAGCATTTCCCAAACAAAATATTTTTCTCACTTGTTTTTAAAGGGAAACATGAGTTTATAAGTTGTAATGTTTCACTATTCAGATGTCCTTTTGTTTTGATGTTTTCTTTTTTCAATTTCATCATCAGTTTCTCCCTATAGATAGTCAGGATTAAGTACTGGCTTTCTGGCACTTGACATCAGCTGTTGTGTATAAATCTCTAGAATTACTGAAGTTATAAAGTAATCACTTTTCTGATAACCTTGCATTTCAAAAAATGTCCAGTTTAACACACTAGCAAACATTTTTACACTAATATAAAAAACAAAAATAAAAAAGGCTTAATTGACAGTGCAATTTTACTCACATTTTGGAGTATGACAGAAATTATACACCAAATAGAAGTTGGTTGATTTACAGTGCTGGGTTGATATGTTAATTAAAAGAAAAAAATATTCCATTCTCTAGCAATGTGTTCTATGCTGAAAATGAACTCTGATAAGTGAATGGACATGACAGATAAGCAAGTCATCCTAATATACTGGAAGATACATATTCCACCTCCTCCCCCTTCCCTTCTGACTACTTTAACATTACATCCAAAAGATAAAATTCAGCTCTTGGATCTTAATGGAGGATCCTGATTCCATATTCTGCTCTCCCTCCATGGAAAGGTTAATGCCAGATACATGCATGGGAAAGCAGATCCTTCATATAGAAAGATCAGAATATTAGAGTCAAGATCAACCATGACATTCTGAGCAGAATTCTGATAGTAACATTTGCTGTGGCTGTAGCAACGTTAATTAACCCCTTCATTTCTCCTGCTTTAAAACCCCCACACAAAGATTAAAAAAAAAAAAAAGTGAAACCCTGACCTCATTGAAGTGAATAGGAATTTTGTCATTGACTTCAGTGGGTGTGTTGTTTTATATTCAAGTAATCCACTAGTTTTAATGATAATTCATTGCTAGTAATATAACAATAGTCTTTATTAGATGCATAGTTAACATATATCCAGAACATCTTAACTCAGGTCAGTCCATCAGTCTAACCTAAAACCAACGGCCTTCTCTGACTGTCATCTCCCACACCCTGAAGATTCTATTCATTATCTTAAGAATAAATATCAGTCAAGTTTACATCTAAAGAATTATTATGATAGAGGATTGCATAAACTACCTTATTTGAATCTGAAATATAGCGTATGTATCTATACTGGTAGAAATTGGGCTCAGAAAGCTCAGTGGGATCAGGCTTTCACCCCAGAATCCTCATTAAGCTAATAGCATTATGGTTAGTGAAAGGATAGTTATAGAGCAGTGGTCCCCAACCTTTTTCGTCTGGCAGGCGCCAGACGACGAGCCACGGAGGACCGTGGCGGCGGAGGAGCATCCGCCGAAATGCCGCCGACAAGCGGCTACGTCAATAGGCGTCACCGCCGAAAGTCGCCGACAAGCAGCGTCATCCAGAGGCGTCACCGCCGAAATGCCGCCGAAAATCATACTAGAGCAGTGAGTGTATCAGAATTTTTTATGCGGACACAACAGCAAAATGAGGACAAACACATGCATGGAATTAAGTGGCAGGCCACAACTTTTATTAGACTTTAACACAGCAGAGGAGCGCTACTCTCCAATCACTCATACTCTCCTATACCAGGCATTTAACTGGCTCTAGTGCAGGGGCTACAGAGCACCTTACCCTATAACCCACAACTCAGGGTAGGCTGTCCTCAGGACTCAGCTCTCTCTGAGTTCTAGCACCCTCTCTGCCTTCAGGAGGATTCCATGAAACCAAGGCCCATCACCAAAATCCCAGGTCTTTTACCTCTGGGACCAGTTCATTTTATTCTTTTAACTGCACTGGAAATCAGTGCTGAAGGATGCTCCTCATGGCCCCTGTGCCAGGTTAAATCCTGGGAACTGGGGAATGCTGGGCAATCAGCACCCGTTTCTCCTCAACTGGCTAATGGGTGCCAGAAACTGCCAGCAGGAGGAGCTACCTAGTGTCCCTTAGAGGGTGTCCGACCCTATCAAGTTTCCCCCACCTGTTGAGACAGGTGGATGGCATACAGAGATTATAATATTAGGTAGAATCACTATATCATTACTAAGCGACAATTGAAAGACAAACCAGGAAAAATAGAAAACTTACTTGCATTTACAGCTATTCCATAGGCAACTATCTTATGAAATGTGAGGTTTTTGTCAAGTTGTCTCCTCAGTGCTCCTCTACAACACTTGGCAAAAAAGCAAAACTCATTTTACAAGTTACATAGTTAATTCAATTTACTATTTCCAACTCACACATAGGGAAAGTGGGGTGGTGAGTTCAACAGCTATTTTTATTTATTTATTTTTAAATCAAGCAATTGCATGCTACATATTGACATGATTTATTCAAGTATTTCTCACAGGGATTCAGTACACTTGGGGGTTTAATGGCAGAAATCCAGTGGAAACCAATTATTGAGTAAGGTCTTGATGGTGTAAGTTCTTATGTAGTGCATAAAGAGTGTGCACATTGTTACAGTAGTGCCAACTCCTGTGATTTTATTGCAAGTCTAGAAATGTTTGGTTTTTTTCTTAAAGCCTTGCCTCCTGGAATCATGTGCGTATGTGAGAATCTCAACTTTCATTGGAATCATGAGGCTCCACCTGTATGTTCCTCACTTTGGCTTTCATCTTGCCACTAGACAGGAGTAACATGATGGATACACAGCAATGTTCTCCATTAATGCAAGTTGAATTCCCCTATACTTCTTGTCTACACCGTCACATTTTACTTTGAGCTTATGTGCATAACACTTTGCATCGCCAGTATTATGCAGAATCTAGCTCTAAATAGTATTTCCTCTAAAGCTACAAATGATTAGTCTCCTTTCAATTATGGGCATATAATAACAGTGTAAACAATAATAACTCAGAACTAAATGCACAGGTTTTTCTAACAATTACATTCCTTTGAAATTTTTGATTTGGATAACATTGATGAGCTATAGAAATAAGAGAAAATAATACATGGATTTCAAAAACTGTACTTACAATGCTTGTTCCCCTTATGAATGAAATAAGGTTTCTACTGACTGGTAGCAGGATTAACATGCAGTTAAAATTAAGGCATGTCGCAGAAGCTCTCGCCCAAGCCAGTGTTGACTGTACACATAATGGTATAAAAAATTATATTACAAATTTGGGGGTAGGCTAAAGAAGAAAGGAAACATATTAAAAAGCAAGTCTCTCATTTGGAAAAATTACTCAGTATCAGTGAAAGTAGAGGCTGATAATAAAATATGCATGTTGCAACATTCTCCTTTGAGAAGGTGCTTAGCAGTCTAACTCATACTTACACCCAGCATAACCCGTGTATAAAGGTAAGCATCATCTTCTTCATACCAGTGGAATGTGTCAATAAACAGATATAAATTCAATCCCAGCCACACCAGCTACAATAAAAAGTGGGGGGCCGTTAAGTGATTAATGACACCTTGGATATTTTACTGTATATTAAATCATTTGTGGTATTCTTTCAAAAGAACCTGGGGAGTATTTCAATACCAGTATGAAACATAGTTCTAGAAGGTCACAGAAGTTAGAAATGGAAAATACCTATCAGACTGAGTCTATCTTTTGGCAAATGCAGGATACAGTCCCCCAATAGAGGACATATCATCACATAATAAAGGTCAGATAGTACACTTGTTCTTAGGTATAAGATTTAGCATGGAAGTGTATGTATTTGCAAAAGGCAACAACAATGAAAACTAAAGACTTCCAGAAGTGAAAAGAGTTGGGAAGGTTGAGGGAACTCCCTCACCCAAAAAAACAGAAACTAATTCAGAGCACAATTTCAAATACAATTATAAACTACTATTCCCTTAATCTGCTTAAAAAATACAGTAAGACATTAAATTGTTTTAAAGGCTATTTATAAAAGTTGTTGAATATTTTATACAGGTCTTACATTTCACTTGTTCATTTACTGTAAGCAAACAATAAAAAACCTCTTAAACAAGCTTAAAATACTTATATATAGCCAATTAGTTTTTTTAATATTAAAGAGATACTTACTAATAACAGGACTGACAGACTTTCACTGAAAATCCAGCATCCCATCTTGATTGCCACTCTTTTATGTTAACAGCAATTCACTCTTGCCTTATAACATAACCTGAGTTCTCTGTACATTCCTCAAGCTTTTCTACTAACTACTTTTTGTCTTGAGATCTTAATAAGCACCCACCGGGAGCTGCAGCTCTCTCTAGGAATTTTCTAATTAAGGACTTCCTACTAAGAGCAGATCACCAAACTGACATGCCTTATGACCTGTGTAAATACAAAGCTGCTCCGTGTCCAGCGATTCCTCTTTCAAAAGTTATTTTACAGAAAATGAGAGCTGGTTTCATTAAATTATCCTCATTTACCATTCTGGGTTGGCTTTCACCACAGGTTCAGCAGAAATTAACATAATTCTTCATGATGCAACTTGTTAAAATACCAAACAGGAGGGAGTATTCATTATGTATATATTTTAAACACACAAAAATATCTTAAAAGAACTTGATGGTTGCAAAGTCAAGCACTCAAAAGTTAGGAAATGCCAGAATAAAAGTTGCCTATACAACCTTAATACAGACCCTTTGTGAGTATGTATTATGACACAGACTTTAATTACATGATCAGATACTATTTTTTCTCACAAGACCCCTGATTTATTCAGAGCACAAGATGGACAGTGCTCATTTAGTGAGACGCTATTCAGTATTTTGTTTTATCCTCATTGTGCAGTATATGGTCCCATGTCCTATTCAGACTCTGCTCTGAATACAAAATTAATTTCTTTATTGGCTTTTCTATGATGCTTATCAATATAGGATCTGACTGCTTCACAAATATTAACAAATTTATTTTCACAACACCCTGTGAGATGGGGAGGAGCCGAGGCACAGAGAGATTAAAGTCAAAAGCATCCACTAATTTTTGGTGCCCAATCTGAGATACGTAAGGCTTGACCTGCAGTATACTCAGTACACCTCTACCCCGATATAACACTGTCCTCGGGAGCCAAAAAATCTTACCGCGTTATAGGTGAAACAGCGTTATATTGAACTTGCTTTGATCCGCCGGAGTGTGCAGCCCCGCCCCCCATGGAGCTGCTTTACCGCATTATATCCGAATTTGTGTTATATCGGGTCATGTTATATCAGGGTAGAGGTGTATTCTATAGCATTTATATGTTCAAATCACAGCTCCCAATGACTTCAGTTGCAACACTGAGTGCTCAGCACTTCTGCAAATCAGACTCCAGTTTCTCAAGTCAGGCACCCAGAAAATTAGGAACATATAATTAGTGGCCACTTGTGTAAAGTTTGCTTTAAGTGACTTGCCCAACATCACACAGGGACTCTGGGCTAGATCCATAAAGGAGACTTAGGGCTTGTATACACAGGGACACTAAGGAAATTTAATCTTAATTAAGGGCATGGCTACACTTGCACATGTAGAGTGCTGGGAGTTAAACCAGCCTTTGGAAACTGCAGCAGGGAAAATGCTGCTGAGTGTTTACACTCTCAGCTAGAAGTGCACTGGCGTGGCCACATTAGCAGCTCTTGCACCACCACAAAGAGCAGTGCATTGGGGTAGCTATCCCAGTGTTCAAGTGGCTGCAACGTGCTTTTCAAATGCGGGGGTGGGGTGGAGTGTGACAGGGAGTGTGTTGTGTGTATGTGGGGGGAGAGAGAGTGGGTTTTTGGGGTACTGAGAGTGTGTCAGCATGATGTCTTGTAGATTCAGACCCCCCGCCTCTCTCTCTCTCACACACTCACAGCAAGCAGCATTCCACAGTAATGGTTGCTTTGTCCCAGAACAGATAAGCATGCTGGCTGTCAGAAACGGAGCTTTGAAAGGGCATATCCGCATTCCTACAGCCAATTCCAAAACAATGACAAGAGTGGACACTTGACTTAAGGGGATTATGGGACGTTTCCGGAGGCTGATCAAAGCTCAGTAATGGAACACCTCATTCACATTGAGGCTGGGACATTTCAGCCGAGGCGCAGCAAGCGTTATGCTTCTCGTAGAGGTGGATTACCAGGAGTGCTCCAGCTGCAGAGTCCAGGCGCTCTAAATGCCTTGCCAGTGTGGATGGGTTGGGAGTTAGGACGCCTGGGGCTGCTTTAATGCGCTGTAACTTGCAAGCGTAGCCATGCCCCTAAGGTGTGAATTTAAAGTGGGTTAGTTAAACTGCATTAAACCTCTGTGTGGACACTCTCATTCAGAATGAAAGTGGCCTTAATTTGGTTTAACTCTTAGACTCAGCTTGCAATGCCTAGCATTTAGGTGCCCTGCCACCTATTGGAACACACACCCCGAGCTAGGGGTGCAGGCTCTCTATGCAATGCAATGGGGAGAGTTAGGTATACACAAAATCCAGCATGCTGAGTCAACTAGCCAACAGAAGAAAATTCCAAGGAGAGGGGTGTGTCCGAAGACCTGCCCCTCAAAGGCAATTACTCAAAGGCATAACTCCAGGTTCAAGGGAGGTGCCTCCGTCTGCTCAGAATTCATGGCCGTGAACCCTCTCCTGGAGTTAAATATGCATTGGTACCAGGGGACTGTATGCTGGGTCTTTCCATGTTCTTTGTCAGTCCCGCAGTACAGTCATTTTCATACTCTCTCTGGCACAATGCATTATTTATACACTGGGGAACAGCTTCAACAGGAGAGACTGAAAGAGAATATGCTATAGTATAGTGGTTAAGGTACTCATCTGGGATGGAGAGAGCTTCTCCACAAGACCACATGCCTCTGCTTCATCACACTCCAGAATCAATAAAGTTTTGTATATATATCCCTTCTCCCTTCCCCACAAACCCCCCTCCCCCAACAGATCATAGGAGGGACTTGTGGCTTCTTTCTGGGTTCTGGAGAGTAGGTTTTTTGGCTACCTCTTTGATTCCACAGCACATTTTTTCTGTGAAGGTTCTTCTGTCTATCCCATTGATGGCCCCTCTATTTTAGTCTGCACTCATGACCATAATGGCCTTTAGTACGCCAGCCTCTGTGTAATAGCCCGGGTCTCCTTCTTTCAATGGGCTACAGCAATTATCGTCTCAAAAATGACCAGGTAAGCCTCTTGGTCATCTTCCAATCCAATCTTTGCAAAGGAAGGAATGGTGTTCACTGACACTCTGGGCAGCCCACACTGGTTAATAAGTCTCTGAAGTAGCTGTTCCAGGATCTGTTGCTGCTCTTGTTTTTTGTTGCTGTTCTTGCTGCTTCTTCATAAATTGTAGCATGAGTTGCTGCTCTTTCTATTGCTCCATCATCCATTTTATGACCACTTCCATATCTTCCTTTTATACCTCTTTTACAGTTGTGGGGGGAGGGTATAGAGAGGAGGCAAAAAAAATCCCATGACTCCTACTGACACATTTGAATAAGTGACTCAGGCTATGTCTACACTTAAAAAATAGTACAGCAGCACAGCTGCAGCTGTGCCGCTGTAACAGTTCAATGTAGACACTCACTACAGTGAGGGGAGACGTTGTCCCATCACTGAAGATAATATATCTGCCTGAGGGGCAATAGCCAGGTTGAAGGAATAATTTTTCTGTCATCCTAGAACTGTCTACACCAGAGGTTAGGTCATCATAGCTACATGTCTCGGAGGTGCGAATTTTTCTCACCCCTTGAGAGATGGAGCTGTGCCAATGTACGTTTCCAGTGTAGGCCAGCCCTTACTCAGCCTCCTCCAAACACAGTCCATACACCCTGTACAGAGTCAAAGCTTACCCTTAGCATTTGGTTTATTTACAAAGAAATGTATGATTATCATAATTCCAGCCTAAGTCTTCTCCCCTGGTGGAGCCTTCTCTCCTGAGGAATGGTCAGCCTAGAACCTCATCTTCGAAGGGTTATTCCAAGTTGGAGTTAACAAGCCACCAGAAAAAATGAGTCAGCAGGATTCAGTATCTCTGAGCAGAATCAAGGCCTAATCAAAGGGTGGGTTCACAGGAGACTACTACCAGTCTGTTTCAGGGTCCCTTTTAGGGGATATTTATTTGAATATTGTAACATTTAATCAGTACCATAATTATAGTCAATGGAAAGAACCACTTTTCTGATTTTCTTTCACGAAGCATGAATAATCAATTAAGTTTATTTGCACTTCTCTAAGGAGAAATCCTCTCTTCTGCCCCTAATCTAAATAATTCAACTGGTGGCCAGAGATCTGCATATGGAAAGGGGGTGCAATCCTCTCACCCAGGTTGTGGAATGGCAGTATAGCACCCACTTCAGGAATGACTTAATCATGTTTGTTATTAATCATGTTTATCACAGTAGTGCCTAAGGGCCAACCAAGAATGAAGCCTCATTGTACTGGGCACTAAAGAAGCACAGAGTAATAGATGGTCCCTGCCCCACATATCTTACAGTCTAAAGAGACAACACATACACAGGGTGGGGGAAAAAGTAGAACACACAAGCAGGTCCTAGAGTGTGTGTGGGGTGGGGATGGGGGAGTGTCTCACTTATACAGTTCTGAGGTCAGGGGGGAAGGATTCACATAGTGACAGATTCCCTAGCCCCATTCCCACTCTTGTCCTGATAGGCCTTCTTACTCCCAACCTCTCCCTGCAAAAGCCGTGTAGCCTCTGAAAATCCGCCCCACCACCCCTCCCTTCTTGTCTTCCACAGCAGAATCGTTTCTAAAAGAGTTCTTCACATTCATGCCTTAAAGGCAAAATTCGCTCCTGACAAAATAGACATGTTTCTTAAAAATGAAATGTTGGAGGCCGTTTGTCCAAATGTGAGTGCAATTCAGTCTGGTATTTCCAAAACATAAGAAGCAATGGATGACAATAGTGAGGTTTAAAAAGAATCTGTCATGCTCAACAACTACTTTTTAAGTACTTAATATCAATTTAATATTATCAGTTTATGTTATGCTATTTATACTGTTGATGCTCACTACAACCATTATAATGAAACTGTTATGAAGTGGGTTTTGAATGTTTATTATATATACTTGCAATTTAGCTATGTCTATTTTCAGCTTTATTAAATAATTAAAAAATACTATGATTATTCACTAACAAACCTCTACAACCTAACGGACATTGATTGACCAGTTCCATTATGCTGTTCAACAGACACTATACCTACAGTTAATTGTTCAGTTCAGAACCCCTTTTAAGGTCAATAATTCACCTTTATTGCTTCTGGACTATCACAATCACTAACAAGATAGTGGCTACAGCACTGTTTTTCAATGAAGCAAAAGGAAGAGGATATGAGGGAGAGGGGAAGAAAAATGTGCTGAGGGTGAGGAGA